TACATCTTGTGTCATGTTCCAGTTGTTGTCAGTCCCTGTCTAGTCACTGTGCACTGGACAAGTCTTGCATATGAATGCCTGTTTACATTTGAGCATTTCTTTCTTCCAGTCAGTGGCAATGGAAGATGCAATGCTGCAGTGCCTGGCAGTTCTCCTGGGCTGCGTCAACTACTTAGACTCCTTTCTAAAGGTCTCCATGCCATACTCAGGCAGTACACAACTATCTCAATCTGAGTGATGAACCTCCTCCAGTTATGTGCTTCACTTTACCATAAACAGATGAGTGTGCAGTGTTTAACTAAGCTAGTATTTAATAAGAGGTGCTAGCACTAAAACAACCAAAGAGAAGAGTTTATAATTTGAATATTTATCTAATCCTTACTGCCTAGATGAGGAGTGTGCCTTGAATTGCAACCTGGGCAAGGTACTAGTTAGTTATATTTTTCTTTTGCTTATCTGAAACTTGAAGATTTTAAGTTAATTGTCTATTTTGGTCATGATGTTCAGAATTTTTAGGAGGAAAACACTTAAGTATTCCTACACAGCACTGTAATTTGTGATTCCAGGTATGAGAGAGATGGCAGTACATTCCCTTTATCAAATGCCCTATGGCTATAATATTGGGTGAAAGAAGGAACTGTCTGGCAAGGACAAAGCAGGTGCTTTGGGAGCTGGAGAATGGGGTAGGAGAGTATTGCTGTGGGAAAGCCTCAGTGAGCACAGAACTGAAGGGTTCTTTCCTCTGTAATCAAACGCTCTGGTTTCTCTCAAGGGGAGAAGATTTGATGGAAACCTTGTATTGTTATCCCTGAAGTATCCTAAGTTCTATTGTCTTTCTGTCAAAAGGCAAAATTTGGGCTTGAACAACTACGTTTCTAACATTAAGGTTTTCATAGCAATATGACTTGTCTGTATATAGTGAATATTACTCTGCTGTATGAAACTCGTATTTTAATTCATATTCAATAATATGTGGATACCTAAATGTGGCTATTGTAACATCTCAAAATTATACTTGTTAGTCTGTTTGTGAATTAAGTGAAAAGGTAACAATTTTTCTCTGCTCTTAAGGTAAGACATGCTTTGTCCTGCACACCAGAAACAAGTGAAGCATTGTTATGTCTATGGAGTTACAAGATACAATTTGTAAATGTACAGCTTTTGAGTTGCTTGTGTCTGTAAAATATGAGTGTAGGACTGTGCTGAATATTCAGCTGGCAAATGTTTCGTTCTGTTGACTGTTGAAGTGTTACTATAATTTTGTTCAACTGGTGTCCTATAGCAGGGTGGGAGATGCTGATTCTTTCTTCTCCATCCTCCCACTGGTGCTTGGCAAAGCAACAGAGCGTGTTGCATGAGATACCAATCAAATCTTTAGCTCCTCCTAGCTAACGCAAAGAAGGATATATATTGCATGTTTTTATCTCCAAAAGTATTCCACCCAGTGCTAGGAGTGTAACGTAGGTTAGATTTTCTTAACTGGTACAGGTATGTCACAGGAAAAAAAAAGTCTGATCCACAAAATACTGAACTAGCACATTGGCTTAGCTGGGAGGGAATAATGTGTAAAAATGTCTGTGGAAAACTTAATTACTAAACTGTCCCTTGAGATCCTAACTTATCTGAGCATGTGGATAAAATGGCAAAATAAGCAATCATAATAATTTAATTATTTGGACCAGATTTGACAGCAGCACTTAACTCCTGAGATACAGCAGTTAATGATCCTACTATATGTATGCCCTATGAGAGACTGCTTCTGACAGACACGGAGGCATGGCTCACAGAAGGGGCATATATCCTACATTTAGTGGTGAGAGAAACTCATCATAATTAAAATGTGAAGTTTGGGCTAGCCGTGTAGTTGGACATCTGGTGGAAGTGAAGGATGTTTGGTGCATAGATGTCTGGAGTTGTAACTTGGTTTTATGTATTTGCAAATTCAGGAAGTTTTTCTGAAGAGGAAGAAATACCAATATTCCAAATTAGATGTAGATTCCTCCTCATTCTGTGTATATAGATGAACTGAATCATTCTTTCTAGTTTACAAATTTCTTATTAAAAAGTAAACTAAGCTCAGATACTTGCCTCTAGGTTGTCTCAGTTAAGGATTTTGAGATTTACTGGGTTTTTTTGTTTATCTATGATAGCCTTCATACTCTTTAAGAATTTAGTTCCTCTTTCTTGGCCTAGTGATTATTTCTATTTAACTTCTCAAACACCAGAGTCTGGGACAAAGATGCAAAGGGGAAGAAAAAACAAACGTGGAAAGCACTGTTATCTAAATAGCTTAAAATGTTGCAAGTAACAACAGGTGGCCTTCAGTGTGGCCTTACTCAGAATGCATGACAATCCCAGATGTCTGCATTCCATAGCGAGAGGAGTTCGGCCAGAACCTTGAGCTTCTTGGCTTACCAAGTTAAGTGACAGGAGGGGACATGAGTGTGAAGGAAAGCTAGAGCAAGTAGGACAACAAAGGGTTTCTGAACAGAAGCCTGTGCTAAAGCTGAATTAAATGTAGGAGTCAGGAACCTGTGCTTTGGATATCAGTCTCTGTACCCAGAGAAGAGAAACTGCTTGTGAAAAATCATGAATACTGGTCAAGATACTTGATACTTCACAGAAGTAGTATTTTGGTCTTCAAGAGCTTTGTAGATACTTAGCTTTACGGATTTCTGCAATCTGAAAAAACCAATAATAGTGTTAGCCAGGTGGAAAACTGCTTTCAACTATGCCATTTTCTAATCTATGTCCTTTCAGATGAATGCTTGTAAATCACTCTGCTGCTAATTTCTCAGGGTTGTATCTTTGTCATTTGCACTTACACATATTTTTGACACAACTAAGGGTTCAAGTGATCATGTAGAGGAGATAGGGACTGTGATTCCCTCGGAGAAATTAATTTGAAACAACTGTCAAATTGTTTGTATCTCAATATATTACAAGTGTAACAACATTAGAGAAGCTGAACTAATAACATACAGTTATTGGAAATGACTTTTCACTCTAGCACTTCAGGAATTTATAGTCCGGTCAGAGTCCACTTCTAGCTCCAGGTGCCATTGACCAACCGTGTGTTCACTGCAATCTCCTGGTGCCATTATTTTCTCATTGTTCTTTATGGTCAACTACTAAAACCCCATTATGTTCAATATTGCTAATGCATTTCCTTTTTAGTAGCCTTTTTCCTTAGTCCACAATAAGGCTATGCATGAATGTTTATAACCAGACTTATTCAGGATTTAAAAATTTTCCCAAAGGTAATATCCTGTCTGAAGAATTCTGGTGATTTTGCAAGTGTAGTTTATTTTACATTCTCTAATATCCATTCTAGGTCTTAACTATTTACTAAGCTTTAATGTGACTATGGAAAATAATGATAATCATAAAGGATGGTATTGTCCAAATTATCTCCATATTTCAGTGAGTTTCATGGCCTTAGCAGAGTTTTAATTAAAACTTGTGTAGGAACTAATCTCTTTAATGATGTTGAATTCAGTTTTGAGACTCATTAATGGGATGAGACTGAGAGCTAAAACACGAGGTTCAACTTAACTTTTTTTAAAAAAACCTTTCTCCATATATCACAAGTGTTTTTAATACCTTGCAGAGGTCATGTGCTACTCCTCTTCATCATGTAGTTATTTGGACATCTTAAAATTTGATGTTGCACAGTGTGCAGTCATTCAGCACTAATGCATATATTACTTTCACTAAATAGATTTTTAGACACAGTGCAAGTACAGCCTGTAAATAAACAAGTATTAACTTCCAACATTTTGAAGCTGTAGCTAAGAAGTTACTCATAATACTGTGAAATTAACTTACTGGAACTTTTCTCATTGTGGCCCTCTGAATCACTTGATATTTAGGTTTGGTTTTTTTTTTTTGGTTGGGTTTTCACCTTGTTTCTTTTGGCTCATGGAGTTTTCTACATTTTGGTCGGTGCATGAGGACAGTTACATGGTGTCTTCATCTGGCTAATTTGTAGATTGTGAATTTCTGGAAAACTAGCCCAATACTTTCTAGATTAACTGTTTCAGTCCCTGACTGAATTAAGATAAAGCTTTTAAGGATACAATAACTAAACAAACCTTCATGATGGATTTCATAATGTATTTCAATAAAAGTAGACATTTTAAAGATACAGATTTAGAAACAATATCCTGCTACAAACTTTTTATGCATATTTTTGTCTGTACTGTATTTTCATTCAAACACATAAATTTTTTAAGATGTGAACTATTTTCAGTGAAAAATTTCAGTTGTCGGAAGTAAAGTTATCTTTTTCCTTATAATATCAAGGATCTCTGGGTTATGTAAAGAGATTCAGGATGAAACTTGTATTTATGTTAGTAAGTGTTAATGCAGCAAACAAATCTTGAGGAAAATATGATGGATTTATTATTACTTATGTTCTAAATGTTTCAGGCAATGTCTGTCCAGTTAAGTAGGGGAAAACTGACTTGTATATGGATGAATACTCTGTGCCAGGATTCGTCCCAAAGACATTGCTTAAGGAATTCAATCTCCTGGGTATAAAACAATCCTGAATATTCCTTAGTAAATCACCATTAATTTCAAAATTAAACCCATTAACTGAAACAGTTGCTGTTATGAGCAGCTCAGAAGGCAGACTTTTGTATGGAATTTAATAAATGAATTCAACAAACCAGCAAACAAGATAAAACATAAGTGACTTTTCAGATTAAGCTTTGTCAAACTTCAGTCAACGTTTTGCAGTCCCATTTTAAAAAAGGCTTTCTTGTTTCTTAACCCTTTAGCATCTCAGGTTGTATGGATAAAAATAGGAAAAAGTAAGCGGTTTATAGACCTTTGAAATCTACCTTAAACATCTGCCAAGACATTTGGCAATACTGCAAGTTTCAGCAGAGATATTCAGCCATTGTCAAGTTTTGTTACTTCACAATGAAATAAATGGGGCCTTTAGTTATGATTCACAAAGCATACTTTTACATGTATTTTACTTTTTTCTGTAGGAGCTGAGAGAAATACATAACAAACAGCAACTACAGAAGCAAAAGAACCTGGAAGCTGAGAGACTGAAACAGAAGGAACAAGAAAGGAAGACAGTAGAACTGGAAAAGCAAAAAGAAGCTCAAAGGTAACACACTGTTCTAATTTAAGCCTTTTCTGAAGAGGTTTTAGAGTGCAAAGTATTTTGCAAACAAGCAAAATAAACTTTGCGTTCCGAGGAGCATAATCTGAACTCAAGTAATACATCACTAAACGGCAAGAATACCCGAGACTTAGATCAGGTTTCATTTTAGTGCTGATGATCCCTTTTAAAACTTGAAGAATCTCTTGATTTTTTTCCTTGCATGAGAAGTGTGCTGTGGAGATGAGCTTCTACATCTATCTGTGATTCTTTACTGTCTGTGATACCTACAGATTTCAGCAGTGCTACCGAACTCTTTAATGTACTTCTACCCCAGAGAGGTTCTTGAACAGCGTAATTAACTAGCTAGCTCTGTTGTTTGTATGAACATAAAACACAGAGCTGATGTTTTTCTGCACACTTGGAAATTTGTTTTCTATGTGTATGTATAGTAGAATTATGTCAAATGAATGGCATTTAGGTTAGCAACCAATTCTATTCTGACATTTATCTCAGTAGCCTTTTTATACCTTTAATGTAGACAGATGTTGGTCAAGAGTTTAAAACAAAGGCCTGGGAACCAGAGGTCTTTAAATTGTTGCTTACATGGACTGTGACCTAAAGTAAATTGATAGCTTGTGTTACTACTTGGTCAAGTTAATTTTTCACTTTTCAGGCAAAACCAAAACAAGGTCTCAGTGAAAATCGTGTCTTCAGATAGAAATATTATACATAGAACAAAGTTTTAGTTAATTCTTGTCATTTACGAAAGTCCTATGCCTTTAAAAATCATAAAGATCAACTTTAAAAAATAGCAAACTTCCTAAGAAAAGAGCTTTCTATCATGAAGAAATAACTATGCTAAATACGGTAATTGAGTTGGAACTTGCCTTGAAAACAAGATGACTGTTGAGGTACTGGAAGTATAAGAATACTAAAAACATTCTGTTTCAGAATATTCAATAAAATACTCCACTTCTTTCCAGAAAAATGGCAATTAAAAAAGACATTTAAGAAAGAAAATACTTTTGCCATGGAAAACTTCACACCTGACTTTTCACAGTAGTTGGGCACTCAGCCACTATTGGTAATGTGAAACTTCACACTGCCCAAATATTCAAGCTTCTAAATAATCGTAATTGGTATACCTGATAATGTGCATTCTGCTAGTCTTACTGATTTCCAGCAGACACCAAAATGAATGAGGTAAATGATTAATACTCTTATGGCTAATTACCCTTAATTATCTTAAGGCTAATTCCATGCAGACTTGTATGACACTGGGAGTAATATACAGTTCAGAGGGGGAAAATACCCCTACATTTGAGTAAAAAGAATGGAGTTTACACTTGGTATTTGGATAAGAACTGTATGAGTGGTATAATGTGGTTGGTGAGAGAAAAAAGGAGATTGAAAGTGTAAAGCAAGTATATGTAAATTAGAGGTCATATTCCACAACTAAGGCAGACATTGGAAGTCTTGAAATAAGGAAAAGAGCAGAATGTCGTTTCTTGTTTCTAACCAAGCTCTGGCACTCACACTTAGGCTTCTGTTTCTTTAGCTTCTCTGTCTCTTCTTATTCCCTTCCTTGTCTTCAACTCGTGGTATTAGCTTGCATAACAATCAAACAAGAACATTCTGCAGCCTCTGTGGAAGGAAAAAAAGAAATCACACATACACTTCCCACACCCCTCAAGATGAATTTTCATCTGCTCTTCTCGCTCCAGCAGTTAGAGCATACTTGGTTTATAAGTATGGGAAGACTTAATCACTCTACTAGAAACATAATTAAAAACTCCATTTCCCATTCAAAGCCCATCTCACTAAGATCACCAGGTAAGACACCACTCAGTCAAAAGAAAATTGAGCTCTGTATGCCTTTGTGATGCCGCTTCAGTAATTGGCTGAGTAATTGGCTCTGAATGCTTTGCAAATGAACATGTGAAAGACAAATTCAGCAATTAAAATAAGAGGCTGTCAGAACAGGCAATTTATTAACTTGTTAGATGACTTCACGTTGAAGGCAGAAAAGTGTGGCACTATTTTGTAGAGCAGGAAGTGGTACCCTTCACACTTGTGTCTTAACCTCTGCTTATGGTATACTCATGTGGAATACTGAAATGGTATCAGCAATTTCACTGAGAACCAAAGGGTTTTTTTGAACTTGGAAGTCAGTAGCTACCATCTTAAACAGACATTGGGTACATTGACATCTCTCAGAAAATACTACTGTCAGCTCAAAACTTATATTGACAGAGATGAGATTTCACCCTCTGGTGCCAACCAACGCAGTGGATTTTTTTACTTTTTTTACCCCACACAATTTTTTGCCAGGAATCCATGTTGTTCTTGAATAAAATATGTTCTAAATAGTAGGGCAAGTCTGTAATGACCTGCTTGTTTTCATGTGTTTGTCACTGATTTTGTAAGTACGAAGAAAGTATAGAAGTGGAATAGGTCATGGAAGAAAATTATGCTCTCTGTGCATCTGTTACAGCCCTTTGGAGTTACCTTTACTGGGGCAAATTATTTCTGGCAGAGTTTTTATTCTTTCTGTTGTCGTCTCTGTTGGAGGGGAAGGGCTTGTTGCCTTTGCAGTTGGGAATGTGTAATTTTCTGAATAGTTCTGCAGGAGTGCTGTATGAAGCTTGCAGATATTTTTACTCCCTGCCCCTCAAAAGGAGAATCAGGACTGTCATGTTTCCTGACTACTACTGCTTTTTTTTTTTTTTCCTGATATGTCTATTTTGAGTCTTACCTAGGGATGTTTGTGGCTTTGAGATAATAGGCAGAACCAATTTGTTTGATCGGTATTCCTGACTTCTTCCCGCATTTTAGAGCTGAAGTCAGTGCTGAGCAGATAAAAATTGAAGTGTATAATTTGATGCTTATTGGGTTTCAGGGAAAACTTTATGATAAAAATTCATTATTGAAAATGTCTGGTGATAGCTGTAGCTGATATCCACAGACCTAGATTAAATAAAAGGAACTGTGTGGCAAATGAAAATGGTTACTTGCAATGCTGATATAATGGGATACTTAGATTGCTTGAATTAGACTGCTTGGAAAGAGATTTTCAAAAGCAGCCTTACAGTTACATGGATCTGAAGAGCTTATGTCTGAGTTCTGGGGTGCCAATGACTTGTTTCTTCAGCCAAGTTTTTTTTTTTTTCCTTTTTTTTAATTCCTCCTTTCTCCGTATGGTTCATCACTTAAAACAGCTGCATAGGATTTATGAATCCCATGGAAAACTATAAAGAGAGAATGCACAAATATTGTTGAATCCCCAAGTTGAGACTCAGATGTGGAATTGAAGAGGTGGGACTGAAATTGTAAGATATTGAATGTTACCAAGCTTATAATTTTCAGAGCATTGTGAGCTGAGTAAGAGATTGTTCGAAGATACCTGTGTAAAGTTTCATACAATTATTAGAAAAACACAAGTAAATACCTTTATTTTCATGTCATTGTAGAGGAGAAGAGATCACAGCCTCAATTGAAAAGGTAAAGTTTAGCATTTAGAAATCTCTGAAGAACTCTGACAAGATAAAATGGTGTTGAATTTTTTTCTTACCTTACGTTCAGCTCCAAAACATAACTAGTGTGTTATTTCTATATGTTCAGGTTGCTCTGTACCTCCTTTAGAGTTCTGTGGAATTGTATTGTAGAGGTAAGGAATTGATATGGGAGTGAAAATAAAAAATTATATTAAAGGTAGTTCAAGTGCAAAGACAAAGCCATTCGAGGTAATAGAGGCCTGCACTTCGGAGTAGGTTACATGGAAGAGTGTTCTCTCACTTGCCTGAGAGTCACAGCTCTTTCTTCATGAGTACATACAGAGTCATAGCAAGTCTTTCTGAGTATTTCTCCTTTGCCCTCTAGGAATCATTGTGTAAAAAGATGCTGTGGGGAGGGTGATAACTCACTGAAATAAAATTAACAGCTCTTACAGGGTATGCAAAAGCCATAAGGAATACACTTCATACTCTAGATCACACACAGGACAACTAGCTTTTATGGTCTTTTGTCTGACTGGCTTAAGAAAACACTTTAATTGTCCAACAGGCGAATCCAGGAACGGGATAAACAGCGGCTTGATAGAGTCCAACCAGAAGAGGAACTTCAGTGGCAAAAAAAAATTCAGGAAGATGAAAAGCCAAAAAGGGAAGAAATGACCAAGAAGAAGGAAAGTGAGGATAAGGGGAAACAGGAAATGCAGGAGAAACTGAGTAAGCTTTTCCAGCCACATCAAGAGCCGGTGAAGCCAGCTGTCCAAGCCCCTTGGTCAAATGCAGGTAGAGTAAAAAAAAAAAAACCCAAGAAATGCTGTTGCACATGCCACTTGAGCAGTTGCTTTCTGATTTGCCTTCCCATTTAATACAAAGGAGTATTATGTTTCAAGGCTGGATTGCTAACCTTATTAAAGTAAATCACATATGGATTGGGCTCTAGACTCCAAGAAGTTGTTCTTTAAGGCTTCACTATGCTAAAAGTGTGGTGTTTAGCAGAGTGTAAAGCACAGTTGATGAGACTCACAGTGCCAGCTGAAGAGAATCTTAGCTCTAAGTTGTTGTTGTAAGGTATTGATGCAAAGATGTCAAAAATTATGTATGTGCTTCTCTTTATAAATCTTACTATGGTGTGGAATATATGCCTTGGGATTTTTTAGAGGAGTAACAATACGTAATTTGATCCTCCTTCTCCTCTTCCTCCTTCCCCATGCATGTTGTTTACTGAATAAATGACATGAAGTCTAAGATTTTTATCCCCCTTTTTCTGCTATGCACACGAGCACTTTCAGCGGAGACCTTTTTCTTGGTGTTATAAACCTGATTTTTGCCCGTGTTGGGAATCATGGTTCCTCCTTATGTGGCTTTGTTACATACACAAGAGAACTGATTGGGAATGTGTTATTTGTTTAAATATGTGACCGAAGGATTGCACAAAGGGGAAATTACCTTCTGTCTTTCAGCCCAAATCTATAATTGACTTAATCTCATAGGTCCTTTTGCTAGGTTTTATTTGTGCAGAGTAGCAAAGGGCACTTTTATGACCAAACAGCCAATATAGGAAGTGCATTACACAAGAGCAATTTAGCTTATATGTTTGAGGTTTTTCTGTATTCTTCTTTTTCAAATAATGCATCTTTAGCATGTAATTTTATTAAAACACCATCTGTAAGCAACCTTTTTTCAGCCAATCTGTATGTACTAGGACATTTTGAAACATTTTACTTGGAAGCACAGTCAGGCTGCAAGTGAAGCTGCTAGACAGCAGGCTCTAAAAGTATTTGGGATACCATTGGTGTATGCAAGAACATCATTGTTTGAATTGAACCTTTGGCTGATCAGGCTTAACCTACAAAATCATTGAAGCATTTGAGAAGTCATATGTGTTGCATCATAAGAACATGATTCTTTCTATGAAAACAGTTGTATCATAAAACTTAAAATACAGTAATATTTTACTTGATGTTTAGAAGACAAAATAGAAAATTGTGTTTTAAATAATTCATTTTCATATTTTCCCTTGTGTAAAAGGACTGTACTTCATACAGACAATGTAACGTTTGTTAAGTTTTGTCTCCACTTTCACCTCATTTTTCAAATATTTTAAAATAATGTATGGGTGTTTTGTTTTGGGTTTGTTTGTTTGGGTTTTTTCCCTTCCTTTGTATCTGTGTGTTTTTTCTTTTGCTCAGAAAAAGCTCCTCTAACGATTTCTGCTCAGGAGGATGTAAAAATAGTGTATTATAGAGCACTGTATCCTTTTGAATCAAGAAGCCATGATGAAATCACTATTCAGCCTGGCGACATAGTCATGGTAAGAAGGGATTGTGATATTACTTGAAAGAAATTACATAAACCTTTGCACTTGTGTAATTGGAATTATATATGTCAAGATGTTTGCAGACTTGAGAAAAATATTTCAGTGAATAATGAGGTGATATGACATAGTAAGTGTATTATAGTAAGGGATAGCCTCTTACACTTCATTGTTAAGTGTCAAGTTTAACCATAGTCTGAGTAGACAGTATCAGTTTTAGTATGCTGATCTGTCTGTCTGTCAGCATGTGTAAAAAGGTTCCTATAGAGAAGTACTCTCCGGGGGAGAGAGGTGTCTTGCCCTCCAAGGTAGCTACGGAGCAAACTTACTGGTACAGTCTACTGAGAGAGTGGCTGTTGTCTGGAATTGAAAACTGGCTTTGCTTGATAAAATATGTTTCTAATAAGAGATTTACCTTTTTATAAGAATAGCTCAAGAGCAGTGTAACATTTTTAATTTGGAAAATTGCTGTTATGAAGTGAATATGGTGTCCAGTCTAATACTGTGTGGAACTATTATGCTGCACTACAGGACGGCTTCACTTCTGCCGTGATCACAGACATTAATGTATTTTTTTGTATGGTGATGATACTTCTTCAGTAATACTGGAAATTTTTTATACAACTCTTTTAGTGAGTTTTTGACATCATAATGTAGTATAATTGTAACTTGGAATTGTTTGTACGATCATTTACTCAGTTCTTTTTTTTTAAACTACTTAATTATTTTGTGAGAAACTTTTACATTTATTTTGGAGAGGATATACAGTAGATAAAACATCACTTCTAAAAGTGGAAACTTCAAAACCTACAAGTTTTGTGACAGGTGTGCTGATACAGATGAGATACAGGGATATGGTCAGCCAAGAGCTGTCGTGTTAAACTCTAAAGCAATATTCTGCTTTTGTCTCTGTCTCTAAAATAAGTTCTGTTGTTAATGACTGCAGTTATTAAATGTGTATATTAATAAATTACTGGTATGATCTTAACCTGCATGTGTGTGTTCATAATGAAAATTCCTAGTGCAAATATGAAATGTTACCTTTTTCACTGTGTTCTACTCAACAAAATAGATTTAAAGAGCTATTGCGTTTTTGCACAGTTTAGTAAGAATGGATTTTGAAAAAAAATATACTTTGTAAAAAAATATACTTTGTAAATGCTTCTAAGTTGTAATGATAACTAATTTTTAAAAGCCTGTATTCTGGGGAGATGTCTTCGCCTCTCAGCCTTTTTGTTCTGTGGTTTTTTTCTATTGATACAGTGGTGTCACACTGAAGTGTTTGTGACATTTGTTTTCCAAAAGCAGATACTAAAGGCAAATCCTGGATTAGTAGCAGTACCGAATGACTGGGAAGAGGCCCATTGCCATTCTGAATAACAATGCGATGTGCTGTTATTCTGCATCAAGAAATAGTATTGGTCAGTCAGCTGTTAATGAGAGAGGATACAGGTGCAGGGGTCTCCTTAGGCTACTGAGAAATGCTGTGCTGTCTTCTTGGGAAATAGATTGTAGCCTAGGCATACAAGTGAACTGTTTTTTTTTTCCTTGAGGAAGAGCCATCATTGTTAGGTGAAACTGCAGGAAAATAATGTTTTTCCAAAAGATACTTGATTTTAAGGAGCACTTCATACATTTTAGAGACTTTGAGGTACCTGAGTCTTTGTTTTACTTTTGGGCTTTGTTTTAACTTACTCTACAGAAGTGGAGTAACTACTCTCAATTTTCTTTATTTAAATTAATTTTGACAATAATTAAACCTGATGACTTTTTCTTGTGGGATTTCTCTCCTGCTCTGTAGTAATTGCTTAACTGGGCTACTCTTAGAAAAGTAATGTAAGACACTTTATTGAAATGTGTTATAATTCTGCCTTGCTTTAAATCATTGCTTTCCTGATGGAGGTTAAAAGGGAATGGGTAAGTGTGCTATATGACTGTTAGGAGGTCTATGCAATTTATTCATTTTTGTAAATACGGATTCTGTTACCATGTAGTTTACTTGTTTTTGAATTCACCTAGGGTCAAACTAACAAACTAGCTCACATTGTCAAAAGTAATACAAGCACAAAGGACCAGAACTTACTTTTGATAATGGGCATTTGGACTCTTCGCTGTCCTTAAGTGTTTGTCGTGTCCTGTGGTTCTAGAAGGTTTGAGTCAGTTATGTTTTTTGGAAAATCATAATTTACAAGCTTACATGTTAAAGTGTGTCTGATTTATGACATAAATGCAACTCTGTAGTTACGCTGACCTGTACAGTTAGGAGTTTACTGTGTGCCACAAAATAAGCATTGCTTAGAATAACTGTGCTCTAACATAGGCAAATTGAGCACTTCACCATTTTAACGCTTATAAATGGCTTTGTGTGTGCAGGCTTGTGCAATCATGTCCTGTGATCATACAACTGTACAGAAAACACCATGCAGCCTGTAACTACCGTGAGCAAAGTATCCAGCTGAAGCCCAAATCTGTTGTCAGTGCACATGGGAACCAGGCCTACGGCCTGGATGTAAACAGAACTGCAGAATTCATTATGTCAGAATGATTCGTGGCTTTAATAGATGTATAGCTTGTAAATAGTTTTTACAACAGTGTAATGCACTTTTACACTGTGCATGAATCTTGAGATCTGTCTTGGTGGAAAGGAGGGAGAAGGATGAGGGTTTATTCTGAAGGGAAAAGTATTTGCTAATTTAAGGAGTGCTGGTTTCTGCCTGACTTTCCATGCCAGATGTTAGTTGTCTGTAGCACTGAAGTATCTTGTGTAATGGTTTAGAGAATGTGTGGGGTGGGAGCTGGATTTTTTTTCTAATTCTTCCACTTCTTAATTACAGGATTTTTATATTTTCTCTTAACTTGGATTTCTGCTTTCTCTGCTTCTTACCTTTCTATTTACATTAAATTTGTTTCACTGTAAGGCAGATAGATTTATAATCTGAACTATAAATTAGCCAAGCTTTTGTCTGGGAACAAATACTCTGAGCCAAGAAGGCTATGCCTCTTTGAGGTCTCTCTGTTCAAGAAGTTAAAATTCTATTATGTGTATGAATATATGTATACAGTGTATGGAATATCTTTTGTATAGCCCTGTTATACCGCAAGTCCTGCTGGCATTTGCTGCTCTTAGGCTCCAGCTTGAAGTAAATGAATGGATTCTGTTGTTTCTGATAATGTTTTATATAATACAGCTTATTTAAATGATCTAAAGCATAACAAACGAAATACAGGTGAATTATTGAATTACTGAACTATAGTGGCTCTGATAGCAGGAGAACGTAAGTTAAACTGGAAGTTCCTAAAGAAGCTTCTGCGGAGGGTCTAAAACAATTTCATAATGGTAATTTCTCTTCAGTTTCGTTAGTTAATGATTGTGAGAGTTAGAAAGAATGTTCTTTGTATTAGACACATAGACAGCCTCCTTGTGTTAGGTCCTGTGTAGGCATAATCAGCCTATGGCCTCTGGCCTGCAGAGTTTATATTCAACAATGTAACAGTATTCTGGTAGTCTCAAAATACCTAGGTCAAAAGCCTACAAGGGGAAGAGAATTAAAATAGTCATCTAGTGGATAGATAGTTGAACAAAAGAGATTATGGTACTCTGTTTAGCTTTGATTACATATTTCTGTGAGAGTATTAGGGTTTGGCTTTATATGTAGAGTGAATATCTATGGTAAAACAGTGCTTCTCTTCTTGTGTGCATGGGCTGCTGGTGATACATAAGCCAGGCCAAAGTGGCGTAGGCCACTGCAAAGCCAGCCCTTCTGTTGACGGAGATACTGGACCAATTGCTTTTGCTGCTAAGAGTTGTGTTGCCGTTACTCCTGTCACTCGTGTTCAGTTGCTGGAACGAAGTAGCTGCAAGCTGTGGCTCTGAAGTACAGTAGAATAAATAAAAAATAAACCCACATGCACCCTATATTTCACTATTCAGGTGTTCATTTAAAGTGTAGTTGTATTTCGGAAAAAAATAATATGGGGTAGTTTATCATAGAGGCTCGGAGATGCTGGGTGCAAAAATACAAGGAAATTACAACAAATGAATTTGAAAAAGGTTCAAAGGAATTTATTTTAAGTTTTCAGTATTGTATTATGAAGACAGTTGCAAATTATATTTTACATGAGTAACTGAGAACCCAGATTTTTTTAATGAATTACAGAGTTAAAATTATCTTTCAAAGTGCCTTTCCATGAGTATACATAGAAAAATTAATTGTATTTAATAAGCAAAAATTTGACTATCCTCATAGGCTCTTTAGAAGATAGCTTTAAGGTAAAATAATTCACAAAAGAGACATTAAATCCTTTGTTTAAAAACCCTTTGGTAGTGGGTTTTTTTTTTCCTCTGCTTGTACAAAACATTTCTTTCTGAAAAATCACAGTGGTTTCCGTATGACTCTGATTCGTTTCAAAGATGTCCTGTTCAGACCATCAGCATAACCGACTTTTGGCTTCTAAGTCCTGATTCTTTTGTATGTTAGTGATTCTAGTTACTACCCTACCAGCTGAATGAGAGTAGAAACTTTGTGACTATTATTACCGTTTAGATTACTCATCTTGACGTCAGGTGCTGATAATCCATTTCTTCCTCTCTTTCCCAAGATTCACCCTCTGCTGTGACCTTCCATCACTCAAACTGCTGCTTTAACAATCCTATTCAGTGCTGCAGTGGAAATTTTGCTCTGCACTGCAGTAAAACCACATTGAACCAGTCAAGCATGTAGTCCGTTTATTTCTGGGTTTGCTTTGCGTTACTAGGGACTGAGATAGAAGATGGAGCCAACAAAAAGCAGAAATAAGGGATTATTTTGCACCAAAAGCGGGGTGTGGGATACAAATTACAGTAGGAGGCTGTCAAAGAATTAACAACGGGCCCAAGCAAAGCAGTCTATCAGCAACTCAAATAAGTAGTCCAGGGACAATCATAGAATCACAGAATGGTTTGGGTTGGAAGGGACCTTAAAGATCATCTAGTTCCAACCCCCCTGCCATGGGCAGAAGCTTTGCTGCTTCAGGTTCAGTGCAAAAGAACAGTCCCACTTTTAGTCTGGAGTGACTAGTTTGCACCATTGCCACAAATAATTTTTTTTGCTACTGATGTTTTTCTCCAAACAAGCAGCTGGATGGGTTGTATTTTGTTAAAATCGGTAGAGTGGGTTTGGAGGTGTGTTTCCAACTGTAGAAGCCCCAGACACTGCTATATACGTATGTCATATACTGAACACTTCTTTGACTGAAAAGGATACTATTTCTTAGTCCTTAGCTGATGACATGTTCTGTTATCAACAAATCCCTCACATTGATAATGGACTATTAGGAAATAGTGTCAGGTGATTTAGAAATACAGATTGAAGCATCTCTGCTGTACTGTACAGCCAGCTCTTGAGTTACACTATTGTTGGAAACTCTTACATATTTTGGAATACGGATTGCTACAGGCATAAACAGATGAGAGAGATTTTTGACAAAAAACAGCTACTGTGTAGGGTTGGTTATCTGATTTTTCATTACCGGCCTCATTTTACTGATGACTTGACCATTGCTGGGGCATCTGCAGCTACGCAAAGCAGACTGTTGTACTAAGTAGATGTTTCTAAAACAAGTAGTTGCAAACCCTATTCATATGTAAGGTTGTGCTTGAAAACTGAGATTCTTTAGATCTATCAGAAAGATTAGATAGGTAGATCACTAACTTTAGCAAAATTATTATCAAATACAATTAGTGCCTTTTTTCTTCTAAAACGTTTATGCAACTGAGATGGCCTTGGAAGTATTTAGCCACCATATCAATTCACCGAGAGTAGCGATAGTGAATTACTTTTCCTTTGCAATTCTTGCTCAGTGTGGTTAGCTGCAGCACTCAGAATTTACACCGATCACTTTTGGTGAAATAGCAGACTAAGGCAGTAGTCTGTCAGTAGAGCTTGGAGAACAAATACGGTGAAATGTTTAAGAAGAGTTAACAGGAAAGTGTGAAATTTGCAAACTCGCAGTTTAACATGATTATCATAATCAATAAGTAGGAATCAAAATACAGCTGCAAAAATAGCCCTGTTTCATTCTGTCGTTTATGGCTTGGTGAAGATATCAAGTGTGATGGAAAAAGAACAGAGGCCAGCAAATTTAAGTTTGAAAAATTACCATGGAATTGTTTTGTGTAAATACACTGGCAAATACGTGGATTTGTTTGAATTGTTTGATGAGTGTCGTTTTTAATACGCTGTGTTGTTTTCATATTTTCTGCAAGAGAAAAACCTAGGAAAACTTGTTAAAAACTGCATTTTGTGTTAAACCAGAATTATCAATGTTTAAGGGATTTCTCTAGAGCTCACTTCTCCCAAGTCTGCTGTACAATGACAGACTTTCAGGCAACTATTTAAAACCCCATGCTTTGCTTATGCCTTAGGATTGAAATAAGACCTTTTAACTCATCACCAAGAAATCCTTTTGATTTTCCCTTGGGGGGAAAAAAAAATAATTGCAGAGCAGTATTGCATTGCAAAATGTTTTCTTATCTATTTATACACCATAGAAGGAATAGCTGTCAACATAATCTTCCAAAGGTAAATTAAATAGCAACAAGATTCTACCTAGGTGGAACTTGTAATGAAGGTGTCACGTCTCTAACTAGAGAAAGTTCATTACTGTGTGTGAGATGGATTGTTTTAGGTAAAAATTCTATTTGTATGCTATTTCTTAACTTTCTAACTTAATGCGTCTGCAGGTGGATGAAAGCCAGACTGGAGAACCAGGGTGGCTTGGTGGAGAATTGAAAGGGAAAACTGGATGGTTCCCTGCAAACTATGCCGAGAAAATACCTGAAAACGAAGTTCCAGCATCTGTAAAGCCAGCAGTTGAGGCGGCTCCTGCACCTAAGGTTTCTGTGCATGAAACCACTACGTCGCTAGGAACTCCTGCTTCTACGGAGTGTACTACAACAGCCAATAACTGGGCAGACTTCAGTTCAACGTATGTTTGGGTAGCGATTGTCATCTTAAATGAGGACGAGTCCTTTCTAATCGATTTGCCTGTGGTGGCAGTTAACACGCAGTATCAAGGCTGCAAAATGAAAACAGCTTGTTTTGAAGCAAAATATTTTCTCTGTGATTACCGTTTGAAATCCTAGCCTTGTGGAACTTTAACCACACTAGCATCCTATCTGCCTAAACAATGCAGAAGGACACATCTCAAGCAGGAGACGTTCCTGGATGAGGATGGTGACATGGAGGAAACCTCAAGGTGTTCGTTCACCTTCCTTCTCTTACATTAGTTGACAACAATCCTCATTTATGGTTTCCAACTTGGATTATGCAAAATATGGTAATAACAGTTAATATGAAAAGATGACTTATTAATTCTTTATCACAACATTAATAAAGCTGATGCTATTAGAACATATGTCCTTCCCTAGATGACTTATTAACTCAACTTAATGCTTTGTGCAGTATTATCAACCCTATGTAAATGGGGTTGGGTGAGTAATTGTCTTATCTTCTGATCATGTGATAAATATTTATAAATGAATATCTTAATATCTTAATGCAATATTACACTTCATAATATGTCCTATTTCAAAATTTCCATCAAATAGGTTATAGTAACTTTTCCAATTATTTAAACTTTTTCTGTTTTACTACAGTCATTTTTCTGAGGGGGGGAGAGTAAGACTAAATATTGAGCTTCCTGGACATGCCTGGCACATACTGGATTTTGTTTGGAATAAATCATACTTTTAACATAGCTGTTTCTACCTTAGGTGGATAATGCATGTTTTCTTGCCTTTCACAAAAATTCTCAGTTTCAAGAGAAAGTGAGTCCCAGAGCACTTATAATATCGTCCTTGACAGGTTATAGGGGTTAGGGATGGTTGTGGTCTTTGGATGCTGTTACAGACTTAAGTGGACTTCTACTTAAGGAGAACTCCTACACTACTCCAACTAATAGCACAAGCAACAGGCAAATGACACTCAGGTTTTGATAGGTGCTTTGTTTATGCTTCTAGGGTTCAGGGGATTTTGTTCAATTAAGTGGGTATTTGGAGGCAGAGGTGTGGATTGTGAGATTTAGTAGACAGTTTAAAGAATCGGAGATAACACAAAAAGGGTAAGCGGTTGCATAAAACTAAGGAGTTGAAAGAAGTCAGTAGGAAATCATTTTAAGCACAAGAAAAAAGGCAAGGATTTGAATGAGAAGCAGCAAAATGATGTATAAGGGAAAGGGGTGTGAGAGGTCAGTGAGGCGCAGATGTGAAGATTTCAAACCAGTTTTGAAAAGAGTGATGATTTTTTTGTTGGTGGTGTTGCTTTCAGTTACCTCTTTCCACTGTGTATTATGTAGCCTACGTTCCTTGAACTGAAGTTGTACAGGGGCACAGCTGAGAAATGGAACTGAATGGAGAAACTGCTGGTCTCAAGTAGCAAAGACAAGCAACTGTATTTAGAGATTGCCTTTTTAAGATAGATTTATTGTTAGCCTGTGTTTGATTGCACTACTCCCCTCTGAGAGTTATGATGCTCATGGAATATTCAATTAAAAGAAATTAACCTAGAATGTAGAATTTTATTTTTCTGCAAAGTCTTCCTGCATGAGTGTTTTCATTCAGTTGAAAACAGTAGGAATTATGTCACTCGTTTTTTTTTTTTTTTCAGATGGCCAACAAACACTAGTGAGAAACCAGAGACTGATAACTGGGATGCCTGGGCAGCTCAGCCGTCTTTGACTGTTCCCAGTGCAGGGCAGCTGCGGCAGCGATCAGCCTTCACTCCTGCCACTGTTACAGGATCATCTCCCTCTCCTGTCTTGGGTCAGGTGAGCCCCTATATTCATTAGTTCTGACCCAGCACTAACTTTTGGAAAACAAAGTACAAACGTTGACCATGTGTTGAAGCAGTATGCTGAGATAGATAAGCTATTTCTGTTTGGAGTGATGAACAGGTAGTGTATGTACTTCCATTTGCAAAATCTGTGGCAGAATTTAACATGACGTGCTTTCTGTTCTGCTATTCTGTGCTGGCTTTTTTAGACTTTGGTAGTCCAGTTTTAATGTTTTGGCAGGATGCCACCTTTGGGTCGCTTTCTTGGGGCTTTCCTGAATCATGTGATGATACCTTGCCCTCCGAAGTGGTTTATGTAGTTAAGTGGAACAGCAACTGCAAAGCTTCACATCAGATGAATTCCGTCCATCTGTTAAGGCATTTCCTTTTCCTCAACTGAACAACATACTGTTCTTGTAAGCTGATGTGTTCTGAAAAATGCCAAATATCTCAGTATCTTAGAGGATAAAAAGAAGTTGGAATACACAATGAATAACTTGCAGCAAAGCATCATTTTCCATAAAGTTTACTTAACTCCTGCCAAAATATCTGCATGAAGGTTTATTACATGTATATCTTAATTGTAAAACTTTATTTAACTTGTTAAGCAGAACCTCTGATAATCTTGCATTGTATGATCTTGGTTATATGTTAACAGTTAGAAGTGTAGAAGGACTGTAAATGCTTCTGGTATCACTTTGTAAGTTTAATTGACTTACACAGACTCTCCCTCAACTGTATAAATCAAAGTGGTTTGTTGATGTATAAGTAGCATAAAAATATATACTTTCTTATGGCACTTTCTTTATGAAAGGTGGTGCATGACTGACTACTCTCTTTTTAAAATTTGCGTTAGGGTGAAAAAGTGGAGGGGCTTCAAGCACAGGCTTTGTATCCTTGGAGAGCGAAAAAAGACAACCATCTTAATTTCAACAAAAATGATATAATCACAGTTTTGGAGCAGCAAGATATGTGGTGGTTTGGAGAGGTTCAAGGACAAAAGGGATGGTTTCCTAAATCGTATGTGAAGCTTATTTCAGGCCCCATTAGGAAGTCAACGAGGTATTTTATTTGCTTTTACTATGCTTTACTTTTATACTGTAATAGTTAAATAAATATGATGAGTTGCACACTTGAATGTTAAAGTTTATAATCTACTCTGTAAAAATGCTTTTTTATATGACTTTCTTCTGAGGTGTTCTGGCTTGCAACCCTGGAAATCTATGTGAGGAATCAGAAAACTAATCTCAGTTCTCCTAGGGTCACACATCGCTGAAGAGAGATCTAAAGCTTAATGAACAGTCATGATCTTATGTGACTTGCAATTAAAAAAATTAACGCATTGGATTTTATGACTTACAGCTATGTAAGTCATAGCTTATCTTTCCCAAAATAAAAAGGTATACCTCAAAACTTAATCACTTACTCATTACTCTTAATCTTAACACTTAATCATTACTCTTGGAGGATGAAGCAATCAAAATCTGGTTCTGTGTAATATGAAGGCAACATTACCCTTAGTAATACAAATGAGAATAATCTTAGGTTTTTTCTTTTTCCTGAGGGAGGAGGTGCAGAAACTTGTGTATTTAAGGCAGTTACCTAAATGTAACCATGACTGGCCATCGTGCTTAAAAGCTTCAATTTGCATGTTTACTGTCTCTGCTTTTTAAATGTAGGAAGTCGCTTGTGGGTGCATATACATTTTTTTAGTTTTTAAATATAATAATAATTTTTCTGAAGTGGTTTAATTTCTTAAATAACGATTATTTTCTTCTAAAGCATGGATTCTGGTTCCTCAGAAAGTCCTGCTAGTCTGAAAAGAGTAGCGTCACCAGCAACAAAACCAACTATGTCAGGGGAAGGTAAGCCTTTCCAACTGAATGGCATTAACAGTACTTTGCTATGTAGTTAAACAGAGTAAGTCTGCTTATTACCAGAAACAAGCTTAAAACCAGATCATAGTGTGCTAAGATCAGGCCTGTTAAAACTGAAGTGCAAATCAACTTGCCTCTAGAATGATTTAAAATTATTATAGTAAGAATTTGTCTATCTTGTGTATATAGAAGAAATAATTTCACATGCCATTAAAACATCTTCTGTAGTTTGTACTGTTTCTTGTGTAAGTGTTTTGGTAACAATTCTCGTTCTGCAGTGGGTTTTTGCAGAGGGTCAGATAAGCACATCTGTATATGTACTTCATGATGGCACGAGTTATTAGTAAATGTCTCAATTTAACATAAAGCTCATTCCCAGTGTTTTATTAAAGCTTGTACTCAAAGAAATTACAACCAGTTACAGAATGCTGTGATTCTTCTGGTCAAGGCTGACCCTCATTTTTGAAGGTGGAGCCTGAGGTACAGACAGATAATGGTCAGGCCTCTGACAAGTTTTAAAAGACTTGCATTCCTGGCTGTTGCTGCCCTTTAGCTGGAGGTTAATGTCTCCACACAAGCTGTGTTAGCAGACTGTGTGAGCGCTCTTAATCCACTTCGGTGCAGAGTCAGCTAGGTTAATTTAAATCACGGTCAGAGTGAATCAATGAATTTAAATATAGATTGCAAATGAACATTTAGATATAATCTTTACAGCACACCTTAAGGTTTTTAAGTACAATTTTAAGTGAAAGAGTCTTTGGTTACCGATATATTTAATTTGCTGCTGGCGTGCGCCCTACAGAAGTTAAAAGGAGGGAATGGTAAAGTTCCATGTAACAAGGCAAGTGTGATAATCAGTTATTTCAAAATACAGCTAGTCTTGCTCACTATATATCTGAGGAAAAGCAATTGTAGAAATGCTGTTGTCTTTTTTTTGGTAAAGTAGGGGATATCTCCGGCTATATGCTTGTATTAAAAAGGAATGCAACTTTTATTAAAACATTTCCAAAAAAGCTGTATTTTAAAGAAATAATAAAGCATGGATTTAGCATTTCCTATTACGTGTATAGAATTTTAGGAAAAATTCCATATGTATAGCATACATTCTGATTTTTAATGTGAGTGTACGTGCATACTGATGTGTGTGTTCTTCAGCTGTTAGACAAATCATGTCTTAGGTTTCATTAAAGATAGTAATTGTGGTTTGAATTTTTGCTGAACTTCCACAAGCGAAGCTTTTTGGTCAGATTTATTGTTCAAGGAAATAAAACAATTGCCAGCTGCAGCAGAATACTTGGAACGTTTTTTTACATATGCATGAAAGTCTTCCTGGAATACTGTGAACTGCTCTTGGGTCCAGGGCTGGTCCTAGAAGCAGAGGACATAGTCTTCAGAAATCTGTTTTGTGCCCACAGAAAGTGCGTTAATGCTTAGTTAAATAAGAATGTGTTGAGTTGTATAGAAAATGTTACTGAATTGTCTGTAATTCTCATCTACAATTATTTATGTAAGAATTTTTCCTGTAGTTCCGTGACTCTGAATTATGCATTGCGTTTCTCTACATCAGTCTACTTCAGTGTTTTTGCACTTGAATACCAAGTAGTTGACTCTGTTTTAACAAAATTGAACACATTCAGGCTTTGTCTTAACATTTCCCAGCCATCTGTTGCGTAAGATGCAATGAGATGTGCACCCTTCATGCAAAGCTTCCCGTGCTGAAAGAATTCATTGTATGCGAGAGCCAAACATGTAGAATGAAGACTGTATCTACAGATACTTGGATACTAAGACTTACCATCCCCAAGACTAAAAATTCTAGACATCAGCACAAACCAGAAGGCTTTGGGAAATATGTTTCCGGAGTAGTTTCTGGCATAAATTTAATAATTTATGTACATTTTAATTATACTAGCAAATTATTTTTTAAAAATCCTCCAAAAGCAGCCTTTTGATAGATTGTATTTAGGTCTGATAGATACCATTTTATGCATGAAATATTAAGGTTTCTATGAATAGTAATTAATAAATTTGCTTCTATCTAACCCATGGATGGATTTTTCTGTATTAGATTTTGCAGATGATAATTGAGCAGTTTATCAAGTGTTTTCCCATGTTCTGTATTTATTTCCCTCTTACAGAGTATATTGCTATGTATACTTATGAGAGTTCTGAACAAGGAGACCTAACTTTTCAACAAGGTGATATGATTCTTGTGACAAAGAAAGATGGTGACTGGTGGACAGGAACACTGGGTGATAAATCAGGAGTTTTCCCATCTAATTATGTGAGACTCAAAGATTCTGAGGTAGGGACATATTGAAATGGTATAAAATTATGCTGGGGGAGGTGTGATTTATTTGGTGTTGTAGTGATGGTTGCAGGTCAGTGGATCATAAAGGAAGAAAAAAATATTTTGCAGTTTTACTGAATGTGATTGGAAAGGAAAAACAATAATGGTTGCATTTTACAACATAGTGTCGTAAATAACATTGTGGATCATACATTAAAATGAATCCTGCATATGTTACTAATTAATTTGGCAGTTTCAGAATAGCTGTAACTGCTTTGTTCCCCAGGTAAGTTTGTAATGACTGGGTTTTATATCTTGCTGCCATTATTTTAAAAAATATTTAGAGAGTAAAATTTCAGTCTATTATTTTCCCCTTCTCCTCCTTGTCATTTTCTTGCAATCAAGGGGAACAAATTTCACAACAAAGTTAATAGTTTCACAACAAACTACTATATTTACTTGAAAGTTTTTGACTGAATAATAGAGGTTCTGTTTCATAAGACTTTTATCCTGGAATAATCCAATATAACATATCTGTATTAAATTTTTTTTTCATTCTTATTAGGCATTCTAAAGAAAGTGTTTTCTCATTTATATTCCTCATCTGTTTGAGAGGATAATTCATCTACTAGTGGGAATTGGTCTGGGGTTGTAGTTGAATGCAATACTAATCTCTTGATGAGAAGGCGTTCTTCTTCTTGTCTCTAAGAATGGTAGGGGGTTTGAAAATAAATAAATAAATGAAAATTACTGGACTTTTAGAATTGTAAGTGGTAAGTCTTTTTCTACAAGTCTTGAATTCTGTGTGCATGTGATGCAACTCAATGAAAAAAAGGTGTCTGCAGCATAGAGCTTGAACAGAGTCACCCCTTAAAATTATTTCTGTTTGTGGAAAAGCCGAAGAATAAAACCTGCAACAAAATACGTAGCTGTAGAAAGCCTTTATATAATAAATGTCTAGATAGTAAAGAAATTTCAATAATATCCTCTGAGACAGGATTACCAAAAAAAAAAAAGTAGTTAATGATATTTATTGCAGCTCTTGGGAGAAATAGTATTGTGATACTGCTTTCAAAAATATTTTAGAAGCTTTTCTCATCTATATTTTGCATCATGTAATGATTTTCTTTAATCACTAGCACTACTAGTGCGAGAACTAATGAATCTTGTACTGAAGAAGTCCTGTTCCAGTTTTGATTAGTTGTTCCCTTGTGTTGTGAGGTGCACTTTTCTGTGCACAATAAAACTGTGGTTTCACAGAATAGACTCGTATAATCACAGAATTATTGAGGTTGGAAAAGACCTTTAAGATCGAGTCCAACCGTTAAGTCAAACTGCCAAGTCCACCACTAAACCATGATCCTAAGCACCACATCTACACCTCTTTTAAACACCTCCAGGGATGGTGACTCAACTGCTTCCCTGGGCAGCCCATTCCAATGCCTGACAACTTTTTCAGTGAATATATTTTTCCTAATATCCAACCTAAACCTCCGCTTGTGCAAGTTGAGGCCATTTCCTCTCATCCTATCGCTTGTCACGTGGGAGAAGAGACCAACCTGCAACCCTCTGCAACCTCCTTTCAGGTAGCTGTAAAGAGGAATCTGGTCTCCCCTGCGTCTCCTCCAGGCTGAACAACCCCAGCTCCTTCAGCGGCTCCTCACAGGCGTTGTGCTCCAGACCCTTCCCCAGCTCTGTGGCCCGGACATCCTCCAGCCCCTCAGTGTCTTTCTTGCAGTGAGGGGCCCAAGACTGAACACAGCATTTGAGGTGCAGCCTCACCAGTGCCCAGTACAGGGGGACAATCACTGCCCTTGTCCTGCTGGCCACACTGTTCCTGATGAACATATGTAACCCATTCTAAGTAAGCACAAGTATGGTCCTGCCTGCCACACTTATGATGACACTGTCTTGCATCTGACCTGTTAATAAGCCAGTTCAGGACACTAAACAGAGCAGACACAAACAGGTTTAGCACAAGTAATAAATACTTCTAAGGTGGTGCTCTGCAAGGATTAGAAAAATGTAAGTACCAGAATTAGTACAGGAGGTAGCAAGACTTGCCTCAGCATTACCTTAGATTAGCTTGAGCTGGTTTTGAACTATATTCTTAGCAGTTTTTTGTGTTAAATACTTAATTTTAGAAGCAATACATCATACTTCATGTTTAGTATCGTTTTGGATATGCCTGTGCTCATTTCTACCTTTCAGTTGCATCCAATCTAGCAACTATGGTGCAGCAGATAAAGTTAGATCAGGTCCCAGACTAGAAGAGCAGTTCAGTTGGTGGAAGCTTTAGCCTTTTGGAGCCCATTGCAGCAGGCTGGCTTTACTTTTTGACAATTGCAATGAATTTACTACAGTAGCAAGTTCTGGCGTCAGGCAGGGTATAGGTTTAAACTGACAACAGGGCTCAGTGAGAGTCTGGACAAGAAATTCTGAACCCTCTGTCCCCAAGTCTAGCAGCTTGATTCTCCTCTGAGTGGTGCAACATCCCTTCATTTGTGACAGCGGGGGTGTTTGTGGGTCTGTATCAGGGAATTTACCTGATTAAGAAAAGCACTCCTTTTTGCAGTCCATGACGTGAATTGTATTTCAGCCCTGCCAGTAATTCTTCACATACATCGAAAAGATGGTGGCTTCCCCACAGAGTTACAGGAAGCAAGTGTAGAGATAAATGCCTAACCTGTGGAACATCTTGTGGTTGTGAAACTATGCCCTAAGTCTCTTCACATTACCTGTCAGTTCATGTTGTGGTTGATGCACTGTCAGCCTCCTAAAACCCTGTGAGGCCTGTTTCATAGGTAGATAGTAATAGTTGCTAATTAGTTACTTAACTTCAGCTGTGTTCTTGTTAGTTAATGGTAAGTTTCCTTTGAACTTTTGTGAATGAACTGGTTTTGTTTTCCCTTAAGATATTCTCACCAGAGTTTTTAGTCTCAAAACCTGGGGATTTGTATTCAGATGTGCAGAGTTGCTTTTTCTGTGCCTTTAAGGACTGCATGCTTGTCCTGTCTGGTGAGAAACAGGAACACATATTGGCAAATCCTCTTTGTAGGCAACTCAGAAATAGACGTTTAATACTGAAAACTAATTTTTTTTTTTTTTTTTAGAGGTCAGTTTGATGTTTCTCTGATCTCAACTTGTCTGGGGCTGAAACAGCTAAATGCAGTTCATCAAGAGGTGCTCCAGCTGCCCTTTTTGCTGGTGACAAGCACATCTTCAGATAAAATCTTGATGAGAGTGGGAGGAAAAAGCACAGAGCTCATGGAGATCTTGATATCCGGGATGCTTATTTTCATAAAGGGATTCATGTGCCCTGCAGGACATATTTCTTGTTCCAAGTGGATAATTGCCATTACACGTACAGTGTTTTGCTATTCAGCTTGTTCACAGAGCCAGCTTTTACAAAGGGTTTCACAATAGTGGCTGTCTGTTAACTTTCAGATGTGCTGCTGTGCTTGGACAGCTGTCTGATTGTGGAAAATGTTACTAAAATAGTAAATTAATTTAGTGTGTTCTGCACTATTGACTTAGGTCTGAAGAAAAAGTAAGGCAGTGCTGATCTTTCAACAGCAGGCGCAGAGTTTGTAGAAGTGGTTGTTAGCCTAAAAATATCAATGGTTTATACATCAGAAGAAATTTCTTTTCATCTGTTCTTCTGTACCTAGTCCCAGGGTACCCATTTACCTCAAGTTCCTAAATTAAATTCTTTTCCTGTCCCTTAAAGTTTGAGCTTATTAACAGAGTGATAGTATTTGTTCTTCTGATAAACAATGACACTTGGTTGGTGGTCCATTGTCAGAGTTTTCATTGGATTGGGGTAGATGGATACACATCTGCAACAGGTTTATATTCTACCCTGCCTTTCTTGAGACTGGGGCTGATTACCTCTGCATAAGGGATGGAGCTCATACGGTGGACTTGGAAACACAAAAATTTAGATGCTTCTAGTTACAAAACTTTGCATAAATGTTCTGAAAATAGTAACAGTCTGAATGTATTTAACCTGGATTCTGAGGGTCTTACTGTACCACACAATTGGCAAGTCTACTGCTGTGTCTTACTAAATTAGCAAAGAAAGTTCTGTTCTACCGTTTCGAGAAACTTTATCACTTGTCAGAAAATAGCCTCAAATGTCTCAGTGTCTCACATGTGCAAATGGGAAATAGAATAGGGTATGTCCTCTCTGCTGTACTTCTCTCAAAAGAAAGAATAGAAAATACTTGTACATCTGCTGAGTGGGCCAGAAGTTGGGTCCATTTTAAAGGCATCATTTAATTTAGTTATTTATTCAAGTACTTCAGGACTTTTCTGTCAATTCCTTCTGCTTTTTTACCAAGGATTCAGAGAATGTTCAAGCAGGATTCAGACTGTTTGGTCAAGGGTATTTTGAAGCTTCTCTCTCTGAAAATAATCTCTGTCTTTACCAGTTAACTGTAAAGATACAGTGTCACAGCCTGTTTTATCTGTCCATATGTTCCTAATCTGGTAACGTGGATGTTGACTAAGTGACATTGTAAAGGAGTGTGTTTTCTGAAGGTCCAAGCATTTATTCTTTATTGTTTCTCTGCCAGAAGCAATTTCCAAAGCAGAATTAATTCCTGATATTACCATATCAGTGCCAGTTGTCACCTTCAGTTCCACAACTGATACTCCCAAGTGTCTTCCTTACTTGGGAGTGTCGATGGACTTGCAGTTGCTTTGTCTGGACCATCTTCTTCTTGTCCTCATACCTAAATTTAGTCTTTCTATCTGATGTCTGCATGATGCTTTCCTATTTCACTTTTTTGTTAATATAGGTCACAGGGATTGTAGAGAAAGGTGGAGAACTGAAGAGAATGAAAGGAACGTAGGGAAGAAAGGATGATTTGCTGGCCTTATAGAAAGTAACTATAATTTGTCTTTTCAAGGACAAGAGAGTAGCGCTGAGACAGCAGCATCCAAATATCATTTAACTTAAGTTTTGGGAAGGATTGTGGAAAGTGGATGTTTACGTTGCAAAATGCTGAGGAGAAGCATGGTACACCAGGGGTATGTAAGCTGCTTTGGTGCCAAATTAAAAAGAAAAATCTTTCCATCCCCACTCTTACCTTCCAACAGCAGTTAAAGCTTATGAGGTGGGTAGTGCCAGCTCTGCTGAGTTTTCTGCTGTTGTTAGTTGGGGTTGGCTTGACTAACACAGCGTTGTGAGGCGCTGTAGTTCAGCTTGAAGGATCAGGCTTCTTTAGTAGTTGTTCTGCAAAGATGTTCGAAACGTGGCTGTTTTAGAGCAGCTCTGCAGTTGTCAAGACAGATTGAAGGTCTATCTAATAATCTACTTTATAGAGGCATTCAAAACCATTACACAGTTTTTAAATGGCCCTGTTCTATCGATCATTTAAGTAGTTTTTCAGTTACTCCTTATATTAGTTTCTGACAGAATCCCCAAGTTTTCACTAAAGTTAATATGGAGAATACAGAGGATGAAGCTGTTCTTTTTTCAGAAAGGAATTAGGATTCTGTGCAAAACTTCAGGTCATTTGATGTAGGCTTCACATTTGTAAAGGAGGGTCCTAAAGGAGAAGTTGAGGAGAGATGGAAGTGTTGTGAGCCTTGCTTGAAAGCAAGAGGGTATTTATAAAGTACAGTTTAGATTTGTTATGTTGCTGTTGTCCATATCAGGCCTTTTTATTTCAGAAGGTAAAACTGGCCATGTGTTGGGAAGAAACTGAAGTAGTTATTTAGTGTGCCAGAGAAAACTGCCCTAGGCAGGAATGGTGGCTAACAGGGCTGGAAGATGACTGAGGAAGGGAGGCATACAAGGGGCAGAGTGGAGACCACCACGCACTGTTTAGAATACTCCAGTTGCATGTGTATCAGTAGGTCTGTGAGTGCATTAAGATAAATAAAGATAACTCGGCCACTGGTTATTTTGGAAGAGAACTTCTGAGTCTGAAAATTATGAAAGCTTTTCATGTTAACTTTCATCTTTCTGTATCACTGTTTTCCTATAAATAACTGAACTGATTTCACTGCTTGCTAGATTTCTTGTGGCTGTTCAAAGGCTCTTCTTGCAGATCTCTTGGCCTGGATGATGATGATGATTCCTTATCTCACCCCATCTCATGCTGTCTCAGAGAGATGGCACCTTGCTATGTCCTGTGCTCTCATTTGGGCACAAAAATGGTGCTGGGGCTTCTACTGCTGCAACACACACCACCGACAAAGTTCAGATGGCTCATCTTAAAGACGCAGTGACTGCACTGACTATGCTCGTGTGCCATATGCGAAATCTTAGAACCATTATATGGACAGTATTGAAATAATCACTTGCAGTTAGTTTTTTAGACGTATCTGCAGACCAACTTTTTGTAGAGTAGAAAACTACTGCTGTTTTAACTTGACAGAATTCACGTTCTGTAGATACTCAGATTTACAATTCAAATGCTATGTAATTTAGAATTACACTGATATTTGCAGTCCATGAAAGGAAGAAAAGTTCAGGAAAGAAGTCTACACATTTATATACTTCGTAATCTGCTTCATATGCTGCTGGGTACTTATTTGTGTATATTAATTGCTATCGAAACAATTAAGAACAATCTTCCTGTGAGTGTTTTTTACTTACATGTTTGTTTAGTGTGTTAAAGTGAAGCATAGTAAATCACTTTAGTCTGCTAAAATCGTATACTGGAGAAATAAATGTGTGCTAAACTTATATCTTGCTTTCTATTTCAAGGCCCCTGGAGCAGCTGGAAAAACAGGAAGCTTAGGAAAGAAACCTGGTGAGTCGTATACTGTGACAGCACCTTTTATCTGTTCTTTAGTACTAAAGTTCAACAGCAACAAAATATTTTCCCTGGAAATAAATTATGTTTACTTTTGGTCATTTCATAGTAATTTGCACTGACGAAAAGTGTTGTCTGTAACAGAATTATTGACAGATTATGTGTTATTTTATCTAGCATGTATCAATCACTAAATAGCATGTAGCTAGAGAATAGAAATCTGCTTGCTGAAAAATGAATGTGAACTTCATGATAGGTTGCTGTACAGAGCAGTGGAAGCCTACAATAAGCCCAAGATTGCCAGTGCTCCTGAAAACGGAAGTACACATTCTTACCCTGTGGTTTGACAGCATTTTTCCCAGAATGCTACACAATGTGGTATACACAGACTGTGAGCTCTTGCGCCTGCTTCTCATTCTCAAGAGGACATACCTTGTGTCCATGCTGTGCAGCTTCTTGCCTGTCAAACCTGGTCATATTGCAGAACAACATGTTGCAGGTTACTTTTTGGCTAGAAAGTAAACTACTCTTGCCCTTTCTAAATTTCATTTGCATGATTAGAAATAGTTATGTTAATAGGTACAAAGCTTGAGAGCAGCAGACAAGAACAGAGATCTGGAAAACCTCTAGAAGCGATACCTGCTGGGAACAGTGAAGAGATGCTGATAGGGCTGGCTGCTTTTTCCATGCTGCTTTTCCATGCTTTTTCCATGGGAGGATGGTGCATGGCAAGACTTCAGCCTAGACTATCACTCTTAAAATTGAGGGTCTCTTGGATTCAGACTTTCCGTGGAGACTGGGGGACATTGACAAAAACTGTGTTCAGAATCTTTTGGAGTTCAAGAGCAGTTTGGGAACAGTCCTGCCTATTTTTCAGCAAGGAGATTCAGGGGTGTTTTAGCTGTAAATAAGCTGCAGGTGCTCAGCCAACATGAGTGAAATGTTCCTGTTGATTCTAGAAGCAGCAGGATGAGTAGGTGGGAGTTAGTAACTGTGCGTATTGAAGGGCAAGGGAAAAGAAAATGCTTTCTGCGAATTTAAGCAGCAATATGAGGACAATTATATCTGTGAGAAGGCATTTATGTTTTTTTTCTAAATGTACCTGTTTTAATAGAGACCACATTTTTTGGCCTGGACTGTGATTGAATTGGATTTATTCTCAGTAATTCAATTCTTAAATAAATCAAAAGTTAAAAGTCCCTCCTGGAAGGAAAGCTACTTCTGTTTTTTTAACTTTTTTTGCTGAGTTGTTTTCTCCATATTTCTGTTTTTCTGTGACATGCAAGAGCTGAATGTTGAATTTATAATTTGTATTGTAACTTCGTTAACACACAGTCCACAGTAAAATTATGCTGCTGGTTGGCAAAACAGGATATCTGGTACCTGGAGCCATGTAAATCACCTTTTTGTAGATAAAATGAGAAATCTCTTGTTCCGAGAGACATGCAAGGTATAAGATTTTTGCTGTTTGAGTATGATACTCTCAATATTCTAATTGTCATGGTAGTGAGAGAGGTTTTTGCCTGATGTTAAAAAAAAAAAAAAAAGATTTTGACAAACTCCCACAGTTGATTTGTTTGCTTCTGTTCATTTTGCTTCCTGAATGACTCTAGGGTGGAGGAAGTAATGTGATTGTGTGGAAAAACCTGCAGATGCCGGGAGCTTGCAGACTTTCTAGCAGTATAGCCCTGTTTCCTGCCAAATCGCTTGCTTGCTTTGCCTTCGCACAGGACAGACTCTGCTGCTGCTGGCTTTTCTCTGTGTAAACTTTTCTGTTCTCCTATCACCACCTACTATATTTTACTTAGCAATTCTTTCTTCTGTCTTCTGTGCTAAGTTCCAGATCCAGGTTTAAAGCATCTTTCTAACTCTGAGCTCCTGGCTTTTTCATCACCTGTTTGGTTCTGCCGCTGTGTGCCTGCCTCTCCCCTCTTTGAGTTGCCATGAGGGAGGTTCTGCCCTAGTTAATTCTGGATGTGTCATCGTTTTCAGTGACCTCAGATCGCTTGTCGTCTTTCTGCTGCTTCATCCTCCTTAGGTTGTTCATTTACATCTTGAATGCTTCTCCCACCATTTCTAATTTTCCTAGTCATGCTTTTCCTCTGAATTTTCAGTAAACCATCTGATTGTTTTACTGGCGATCTTCAAATCACTTTGTTGTTTCTTCTCTGCAACAAAACCTCCTTGTCATTTTCCTAGTCATGCTTTTCCTCTGAATTTTCAGTAAACCATCTGATTGTTTTACTGGCGATCGTCAAATCACTTTGTTGTTTCTTCCCTGCAACAAAACCTCCTTGTGTTTCAGGAGAATTGGCTTTGTGGTTTCCTCTGCCTACAGCTGCTTTCTCAGTGATTGCTCCCTTTCTCTGCCTTACCAGCAGAGTCCCCCCTCCTTTCCCAGCCTGTGGGCGAGGTGTTGTTACTGAGCGCCTTTGCTGTTTCTCTTGGCCGCAGGAAGTTTGGCGCTTGTTGACAGGAGAAGGCCGAGACGGTGCCCAGCACTGTGTTCTTTGCTTAGTGTGGCTGCCCATGAGAAAGCTGGAGACCACTTCTGTGTACTTGCTCCCTTCAGCCGCCCTCCCTTCTGCTGTTGTTGCTGTGTTGACAGCTAGTCCACCTCATACTCGGTTGCATTGCTTTCTGCTCCTTGGCAAAGGGACAGACTAACAGCAGGTGTGACCACCTAATGCTTGGTCTTCCAGTGCCAGGTTCTTAGGATAGAGTAGATTGAAAATACATACAAGCAGTCATTGTAAGTGAAAATAACTGACACAATTACTTTTTTACCAAGATTTTCAAATAAAAGCTAAAATCTCAAGTAGTGTATTAATCTATGATAAGATAATTACTGAGGCTTTAAATTTAGCTGGCTGTTTTTGCACTGAAGTAGTTGAGACACATTTCTGTGATCTTGTGCTACTAGCTCTGCTGTGGGCTTGTTCTAGGATAGTCTTAGACCACAACCATAACCAGTCAAACTCGGTGCCCACTTTGGCTGTTTGATGGTCCCCCAGTTTTATTTGATGCATTGCCAAATAAAAACCTCCTTTGTCTTAAACACAGGGTCAGAATTTACTCTTCCAAGAAATGTTTTTCATAAAAACAAAAACCCCCAAGTACTTAAGTAATGAATGACTGTGTACTGGGATCCTAAAGTGGAGTTTTTAGCAGTAAAAACACTACTTTCTTGCTGCTTTGGGTGTCTGAGAGCCTTTACGACTAAATGAAGGCTAAAAAAATCCCCATAGATGCCCCTTAACTCATGACTAGATAAATGTAACTGCCTAAAAGGTCTCACTTAGCCAAAAGCTATAAAGTTCCCAAATCTACCATATTTTGTTTACAAAAGGTTCACAAACATCATAGTATTATATTAAACATGTTCTCCATCACCCTAAACATGGTTTGATGACGTGCTAAACCTGACTTAAAAGCTGTGAGGAGGACATCAAAATACATACATCTGCTTATAAGCTACTCTCAGTTCAAATTGGTTCAAAAGGTGGGTTAACCCTGCCAGACTTTGTGGTGACTAAGTTATCATCTGCCTTTCCACCACCACTGTAAAATGGAGTAAACTGCATTGTCTACTTAGGTTGATTTAACAGAGAGGTGATTGAGTTCTGTATCAGATTCGTGCTGGTAAGTGATCAAATAAGGCACCAGTTTTTTATTAATGTTCATGGAATAAAGATTTCAAAATAAGTCCTGTGAGATTTTGAAAACATTCATCTTTTGTTTAGTCTGGTGGTGAAAAATTTTCTGCAGGTCTTCACTAGTTTGCACCTCTTGTCATCAACATGTGCCTGCTCATTTGAGGGAGCTTAGTCCAGACTGATTGTACAAAAATGTATTTATTGGAAAACAGTAGGATGGTACTTGATTTCAATAGCTATATAACTCTAATGATGGTCGTTATTCTTCTCCATTTCAAGTATTTTTTATATCCTACCCATAGAACTGCTGCACCTCTGGTTTTATTTCTGTAGTGCTATGAACTTCTGATCTGGTTTATAATTACCATTTGTTTTCGTAGAACTACATAAATACATATGGAAAGAAATACAAAACGGATATATTATGCCAGTGATAGAGTTAATGTTGTGTAGAATGTGTTCAGGTTTTTCCAAATTAACTTTTTTTTTCCCCCTGCTTCAACAGAAATTGCCCAAGTTATTGCCTCTTACACAGCAACGGGTCCAGAACAGCTCACTCTTGCTCCTGGTCAGCTCATTCTTATCAGAAAGAAGAATCCAGGCGGCTGGTGGGAAGGAGAGCTCCAAGTTAGTTACTGGTCTTTTGAAATGAAATTCCATGTAAAAGACATTGCTTTTTTTTTTTTTTAATAATTTTGCACTGAAATGATAAAAGCATCAATGATAAATAATTTTAAAAACATTCTGCAATTAAGCATTTACAAATAAAATGCCTTTACAAAGATATACATACATTCCAATTCTTTGATCTGAAGTAACTTCAGAGGAGAGCAGGAGAAAGCCATTGTGCCTCATTGTAAGTCAGGGATACCCATCTCACGGAGCAGACCCAGCCTGCAGCCCAGTCCCTTGTCCATTCTCCTGGAGGCCCTTTAGAAGTAAGAAAGGAGTGGATTTTAGGGCATATTGTTTTGGCTGCTTTTGAATCCTCCCAGTCTTGTGTCCTGTAGTTGTCTTCATATGAGCAAAAAAGCAGTTGTCAGGTCAGGGAGTGGGGAAAGCAGCCATGGAGCGGGATCATGCGGGATTGTTGGAGTAAGGGACAGGCCTGGCTGTTGGTTTCTGTTCCAGTAGTGACCGTGTGGATCACGTGCGTTTGGCTCGGCTGGTACCTGTGTGCGCTGTGAACGCAGAAGTAGTACTGAGGTGCTTCAGCCACAAGTTTGGGCTGTCCCTTTCGTTGAAAAGGTCAAGCTGTATTTTCCAGCAGTGGTTTTTGTAAGATAGCTACTGCTGTTTCAGGTGGTTTAATGAATGTGACTGTGGAATACCAGTCCGATGGCCCCACCTCAGCAACAGCCCACTGTAATGTAGAAGGGTGAGAAGAGTGGTGTTGGCTGCAAGCATCAGAAAGGACAGAGCTTTACTGTTGTATTGGAAGATAATAAAATATTTTAAGCAGGGTTTTCTTAAGAGCAGAACTTAACAATTTGGAAACTTTGATTCTCAAAAACTTCCAGTGGCAAAGTTTTGGGTTTTTTTTTCCTTTCCAGTACCACTGAATGAGGTTTTATTTGGTTTTGTGTTTTTGCAACAGTGAATTTTACGTAAAAGAATGTAATTGGGTTTTTTTGCAATGCAGATGCTCAAACTAACTCAAATCTTTTTTCCACATTACTACCTGCTGCTTTTGCCTTTGCTGATGACAGTTCGTCTCTTGTGGAGAAATCTTCCAGGATTAGTGTCATATGATACTTCACTGTCTTACATATGCTTGTACAAGTTGGTTTTATCTTCATTAGCAGTCCCCTACCTATTCTTTTCGTTCTCCTGTGCCAGGACTGTAATGCTAGTTCTTGCTCCTTTGCCATGTGAGCAGAAAGGCTAATGCAGCAGTATGGAGAAGTGGATTGAGGAATTGATTAAAAATAAAAGCAGCGCACACACACGCACCCCCAAAATAGTGAAATGGAGAAGGGCACCAATATTGACTTTTCTTCATGCATTCAGTTTCCAAGTGGCAGATTTTTTTAGAAGTGTATATGCAGTTCAATTTCAGCCTCACGTAAATTGTGACGATACTTGTCTTAGGGCTTAGAGTAAAGGTAAAATAAGGCAAATGTGCTAAGTATTACATCGCTGGGTTTAATGCAGGCTTCCAGAATATTTTAAAATGAATGATCTAGATACACTTTAGATCAAGTGCTTTCTTCTTCAGTAAAGAAAGAGAGAGGGAAGGAAGTAGTTAAAAAAAGATGATTTTTTTTTCACTAGAATTCACATCTGTTTGTTTTTAAAGGCAAAATTTTACATGCCCAAAATTCCAACTTTATTCTAACAACACAAAAAGAGAATAAATACTTACAGTAATTCTTAACATAGATTATGAGATTGGATTCAAAGTTCTAGAATAACATTTCTTAAAGTAAGGATTTTTCTTCTGATCCTACGTGCAATGAACAATGCAGTTGGCAAAATAACAGGGTGCAGTTTCTGTCAAATTCCTGTCCCGCTTTGGTGACACCATCTTTGTCTCACCGCATGGGACCTGCGGTTTGTCTGTCTCAGTGTCCGTCGCTGGCAGCGACTCATTGCAGCTGCGTTGGGTATGGTAGAGCAGTGCTGCAGGCCGGGTGTGTGGTAGGCACCCTGGTGCACTCTCAGCTCACACCTATGGACCAGGGCATGCCAATACATGTGTGCACCACCTTTTCGTACTGATGTTCTCTGAGTAGACAGGCGTGAGAACATCTGGTGTGTGTTCTCACACCTTAGCATCTGTTAATTGGGATCATTTGGACAGCGGCTATCCGTATGTATGTTTAGTTGCCAAAGCTTCGTTTTTCTTTGACTGGAATCTGGCTTTGGGATTTTGTATTTGAATCCAAATTTCACCCATTTTTTTCTTGCCATGATGTTTTGCTGCTCTTCTAGCACTTGGTTATGTGATATATCTTTATACTCTGTTGTTTGGGCAGGCAAGACTATTAAAAAGTTCAGATACTGTTTCTTTAAAAGAAAAGAGGCGTTGTTTGGGTGGGAGAGGCTTAAAAAATTTAGGTACAGTTCCTTTAAAATAAAAGAGCTATATGGGTTCTTAAATCTCTACTTAATCTTCTCTACTTAATCTATCCCAGTCTAGGTGTCTATTTAAATGCAATTCTCTGCATATTGGAAAAGCATTTAAATGCTGCCACTCATTAATGCAATATCTAGCTTAGTATTCTAGAGTTATGGTTTAAACAGAATCAGGACAATTCTTTCACAAGAATCAGGGTTGTAGTATTAATTATAAAGTACACAAAGTAAGAACTTTCAATCACTTGAATTAATAGAAAATAAATGCTCTTAAGATATTATAAAGTACTATTTATATATTATGAAAGCTTACTTTATGTAATAGAAGTATCATAATATTTAGTGACACAAAAATAGCTGACATTCTTCTTATCAAATTTTTCTTATTCTAAAGTAGTGTGACTGCAAGTAGTTAAAATATTGGATGAGTTACCTTGTGTAAGGATCTATTGATGTGTTTAATCCTCTTAAAAGAATTGTTTTTTTACCAGGCACGAGGGAAAAAGCGACAGATAGGATGGTTCCCTGCTAATTATGTGAAACTTCTGAGCCCCGGTACCAGTAAAACTACACCAACCGAGCTACCTAAATCAACAACATTACCTTCAGGTAAGCAGTGTGGTTGCATTAACAAAGTGGCTTTTGTAATGTGTGTCATGTAGAATAGGACTTTTAAAAATAACTGTGGATGTTCAGTAGGATATTTAGTATCTGTTATGCTAGTCACTTTGGTTAAACTCTTAAATTTTTTTGTCTTTAAAATGAGAAAAACATACAATTGGTCTATAAATTTATGGTGGTGCTCCTACAGGTATGAACTACTGAGTGCTAACAAGCCATCTGTGACATTATAGCTCAAAGAGTAAAACATTCAAATTATCAGCCCTATTCGTTGGCACTAATTGTAGTAAAGGAGTTTTTACAGGTTCAGGGTGGTCCATGGGCTTAGCAGTTGAGGCCCCTCTCAGAACCTTTTGTCTTTCCCAAGTTGAAGTGTGAGAAAATGACTCAAATGAAGATGGAGCTTTTTGTCCTGCATAACCACTTATTTTAAGATTTATGAAAGGATACAAGACTGATAGACCATTATATTTTTAAAGCTATTTGCCTGTGGTGAAGGTCTAACAATATCAAACAGTCTGTCAGTCTACTGCGAGGTATAAAGCCAGTGAGAAGACTGAGAACATCAAGTTCAATCCTTGCAACTGTTTCAGTCTTGAACCCTTTTGGCTTGTGAGTTGGTGCAGTACTAAGGAAAGAGGATTCTTGTCAGTCAAAACCGTGTAGGATGGATGTGTGTTCTTCCGTTAGCCACCCAAAAGACTTCATGTGGTTGTCTATCATCTGTTTGGTTTTAGCTGGGGACAGAAGGGAGCAAAAGCTTGCTGCTTCCCCAGACTATTTTTGGACTGTCTATCATTAAAATAAAATAAATGTTTCTAAATGAAAAATGGTAGCGAGCATAATTTTCTCCTTCACGTATGTGTGAAGCATCATCATGCAGTTTATGGAACTAGAATAAAATACTGAGGTATTAGCTTCACGTGTCATTGATACAAAGAAAAGTACCCTATCAGAGAAGACAGATGTTGTAAATGGTGCCAACCGGCTGCTTCGATGGTAGTCGTAAAGATGCAGAAAATCAGACTTCTGTAAAGACTTGTGAGGTTGGGGCCTGCAGTTAACACGGTAACTCAGCATTGAGACACATGCTTCTCCAAGGCCATGTGATGGGATTCTATTTTTAATGTAATTATCTCGGGTTTGACAGCCTGGGACTTCTCACACTTGCTAATAAACCCTTTAGAGAGCCTGTAGAACATCAAAATCTTGATGGCATTCATTTTTATCAAATTCAGCTTTGGTATAGACCCTTCATTTTGGAGGGTGAGAAGAGTAATCTTGTCTTTCTGTTTGCCATGGTTTAATGATAGATGGCCTCGCTAACTGTGTGACTAATGTAGGGAGTTAATTAATGCCTGAGAAGCCTCTTCCTAGTGGAAGTATGTTAGTGGGAAGGCTTACTGTAGCAAAAGACGTGGAAAGCCTGAAGGAAACCATCTACAAGGGTTGAATAATGTCCAAGGTAGTGCATTGTGTAGGGTCTTGGGAGTGCCATTACTGGGTTTTGAAGGTAGGGCATCCTTCAGAAACTACTGTCATCAAAGCCTCTGTTTCTTTTGTCATTTGTGTTGATGTCTGTGCTCTCCATCTGCCATCCTGGAACGCAAACTGCTTGACTTCAAAACCTTCCCCCCCCCCCCCCCGTTATTCTTTTTTTTTT